AGGAATAATATCATACTTTCTAAGTTTACAACAATGCCTCAAGTAAAACATATACTACAAAAATATAATTTGTTAACTTAATTTTGAATTATGTTATTTATATGGTATAGGTCAACTTTTAGGGAAAATTTACTCACTCTAGGCCCTTCTCCTTTTTGAGTGAATCGAAAATATTCTGTTTACACCCATTAACTGTTTCATACATTCTTCCTGTGTACCTAGACAATATCTGGCATTATTTAAGATAGCAAAACTATCCACTATTTCATTGAATATTTTCACATTTTCTTTAGCATAATAAAGCTACATAAATATATACATTTCATAAATTTGCATAGATAATTTCTATTATATGATAGCATCAAATTTCGTCTCTTGTTAAATCATCTGACACAGACAATTTTTTTTGTATCAACTTAAAATAGTTTACTACATGACAACAAATGTTTTATGAAGAAAAGTTTTCATTTCTAAAACACATTACAAAATGTTTTCCAATATAATGGAGAACAACTCTAAAACTGACATCACACAACAAGAATTAATGTCCATAGAATGAAGAACAACTCTAAAACTGACATCACACAACAAGAATAGGTGTCCATAGAGTGGCAAACAACCCTAAAACGGACAGCACACAACAAGAATAGGTGTCCATAGAATGGTGAATCCCTAAAACTGACATCACACAACAAGAATAGCTGTCCATAGAATGAAGAACAACTCTAAAACTGACAGCACACAACAAGAATAGCTGTCCATAGAATGGTGAATCCCTAAAACTGACATCACACAACAAGAATAGCTGTCCATAGAATGAAGAACAACTCTAAAACTGACAGTACGCAACAAAAATAGGTGCCCATAGAATGGCAAACAACCCTAAAACTGACATCACACAACAAGATTACTAGGTGTCCATAAAATGAAGAACAACTCTAAAACTGACATCACACAACAAGGATAGGTGTCAATAGAATGGTGAAACCCTAAAACTGATATCATCACATAACAAGAATAAAAGTCCATAGATCCAGCATAGAATGGTAAACAATCTTAAAACTGATATCATCACATAACAAGGATATAAGTCCATAGATTCGATATAGAATGGTGAACAATCCTAAAACGGATATCATCACATAACTAGAATGTGTCCAATGGAAAACAAATTCTTTGCTATCAAATGTCCATATGATAATCAGTGAAATGCAAATCAGGGTTAAACCCTTTTAGCATTATTCATGAAGTTCAGATTATAGTGAACATGTGCAATAAGTTTCAAGTTGATGTGACTACAACTTCATGGTAAACTACTACAACCAAAATATTTAATATGAAACTCACAGTCAAATTTCCATGTTCATTGAACCAGGAAATTTGGGTCAAAACCCCTGATTTTGATATAACTTTTTAAAAGTTTATATCATAATGAAAATATGTACTAATTTTCAAGAAGATGTAATCCTATCCGGGTCTTGAATACCATCTTTATAACAGGTTTATTTCGTAGCAAACATGTTATAGGAACTGGCCGTCAGTAAGACAGTTTGAACTATGTGAGTGGATCCTTGGTGTACAAACTAAGTCCATTTTAACTATTTTCAAGCACAACTATTGTAAAACATTTATCTTCATACAAAAGTAAATTTTGTTCACAAATCTAAGTAAATGGGGAATGTGTCCATGGGACACAGATGATGCCCCTGCTTGCATACAACGTTATAAAGGGACATAACTGAAGAACGGTAAAAGTGACGCTACCCAAATTCATCTTGATCTGAGTTTTGTGGTAATAAGCATTGTGTATAAGTTTCATAACATTTGGTTGAGGCAAACTTTAGTTAGAGAACGGAAACGAAAAATTCAGCAATTTTTCCATTTGTTAACGGGCATAACTCTAGAATGGTATAAGTGACGCCACCAAAATTCAAACTTGATCTGTGTTTTGTGGTAATAAGCATTGTGTATAAGTTTCATAATATTTGGTTGAGGCAAACTAAAGTTAGAGAATGGAAACCAATTTCTGGACGTACGTATGGACGGACGTACAGACATATAGACACACAAGTGTAAGACTTAATGCCCCCTCCGCTACGGCGGGGGCATAAAAATTCTTACAAATTTAAATACACATAGATGGTTTTTTTGCTTATATTGTTGATGTAAACTAAACTCCTTTTAGTTCATATACAAATGTACAGGGCAACAATAAGAATCCTTTATAAAACACATGTTTTGAGACACGCATATGGTCAGATTACAAGACATCCTGATAAATAAACACAGGTATATATTTTATGTCATCTAATGCAACAGTTATGAAATTTATAATACTACATGTTTTAAGCAGGTCAACTTTATTGCTTAATGTTGAAATTTTATACTGAAACTATTTTGAAATATTTATGTTACACTTTTAAAAGATAATAAAGTTGCACAAAAAGGTTATGTTTTTTGTGTATTTTAACTCAGCAAGAACTTATATTTATATTTATGCACATTTGGGTGTGGTTAAATATGAATTGTATATCTATTCTTTATATTTTTAAAGATAACTGAGCACGCTTCATGAATAATACATTCTTATATTTCATAAACTATACTGCATTTAACATGTATAAGTGATTTTCTCTTCGTATAATTTAAATTTCTACACAGATTGTGAAATGTATAATGTAGGTAGTTTCTAGAAAATAAGAATTTAAGTTTCTTTGTCCATATAAGTTAGTAGAAAACTGTAACCATTCCAGTTCTTTGTTGTTACAATAGCCTGTAAAATGGTTAGATGTTTCACATATTTTGTCTTAAAAAAGAATTATTGCATGAATGAATTTTTGTGTACAAATTTCAATAGGGAACAATTATGATAAAACAAAATTATAATGAGAATAAAATAAGAATGGATTTGACAAATTTTGAATTTACATTGAAAAAAAAAATCAGTGAAATAGCTCTGCTGTTTCAATATCATTATACAACTTTAAACCAGAAATGTTGATTTTTTTGGCCAATGGATTTGCAATTTAGTGATTTTATGCCAGTACACGTGCATTACTTGAAATTAAGAGAAAAATATCTCCCTATATTTGTTGTTTACAGTGAATTCTATACAATGTTTTCCAGTCTACAAATTAAAATGTATATTTCAGGAATTATCTTTTTCTTTGAAAGAAGACATTAAGCTATATGTAGTGATCCCTAAATGCTATAAATAAACATTGGGGAATGGAATATTACTGATTAAAGTCTATTATTCAACCATATTTTTATACACACCAAAGACTGAACAATTCATTGTAAAAGCTTCCTTATTTGATAAAAATGACTTCGGCCATCCAGTTATAGTTGGATACTGCAGCCTGGGCCATCCTGCTATAGGTGGATACTGCAGCCTGGGCCATCCAGTAATAGACAGACACTACAGCCTTGGCCATCCAGATATAGGTGGATACTGCAGCCTGGGCCATCTAGTTATAGGTGGATACTGCAGCCTTGGCCATCCAGTAATAGAGGGATACTGCAGCCTGGGCCATCTAGTTATAGGCAGGTACTGCTGCCTGGGCCACCCAGTTTTAGGCAGATACTGCTGCATGGGCCACCCAGATATAGGTGGATACTGCAGCCTGGGCCATCCAGTAATAGACGGATACTGCAGCCTGGGCCATCCAGTTATAGGCAGATACTGCTGCCTGGGCCACCCAGCTATAGGTGGATACTACAGCCTGGGCCATCCAGCTTTAGGTGGATACTGCAGCCTGGCCCATCCAGCTATAGGTGGATACTGCAGCCTGGGCCATCCAGTAATAGAAGGATACTGCAGCATGGGCCATCCAGTTATAGACAGATACTGCTGCCTGGGCCACCCAGCTATAGGTGGATACTACAGCCTGGGCCATCCAGCTTTAGGTGGATACTGCAGCCTGGCCCATCCAGCTATAGGTGGATACTGAAGCTTGAACCTTCCAGCTATAGGTGGATACTACAGCCTTGGCCATCCAGCTGTAGGTGGATACTGAAGCCTGAACCTTCCAGCTTTAGGCAGATACTGCATCCTGGGCCATGTTTTATTTACTGCAGATATTCATTCTTATTTACCAATTCCCCAAATTTTATAAGTCAACCTTTTTCAATATAGCATTCTTTTACTGATACAGTTATTGTGTTATTTCTAATAGAAATATTGGTTATTGTTTTGTAATTCACTTATTAATAAATCTGAAAAAAAATATGGAATTTCACACAAAATATAAGTAACATTATTAAAAATTAAAATAACATTCACTACTTACACAGTATTTGAATTAAAATCTATAATTTCCCAACCTTAGTTCATCGAAAAATGTCCATATTTGGCCTGAAGGGTCACAACCAAGTTTATTTTATATCATTAATCATTTTAGGTCACAAATTTGATCTATACTGATTAGTTTAGCAACTCTGTCGAAAAATCAAAATAAAAAATAACCTAAAGGCACATTCTTGTATTTCTAGGTTAAATATATAAATGATTATTATATATTTGTATGGGATCAAAGAGCATGACAGTGTGGCCAAATAATATGCTATTGTTTACATATTTGCTGAACTATGAAAAAAACCTTCATATGAAGAGCCTGAATCTGCCTGTCTGTCAGTATTAATATTTAGAAATCATGATAAAAAATGTATTGACCCAATGCTTCCAATACCTCCCAGGCTACAAGTAAGCAGTTATTAAAATAGTAAATGATGAATGTTTATTTGTTTGTTTATCCATTTGGCTGTTGTCAAGTTTGGTTAAATATCTTGAAATTCTTCAAACCTTTGCCATCCAGTCAGACACTTTGTATCTACTATGGTTTTCAAGACATTGGCCATATATTTCCATTTTACCCCAATGTTCCTATATATAGTAATGATAGCCATGTTGATTGAAGGTCATCCAATCTTTAAATGATTCTGGAAGTTTTTCATGATCTCTTACATGTATATATATAGAATTATTCTTTTTAAATTACCTTGGAAGTCATGTATTTCTTTGTTTCTTCATTTTAATTCATTCTTTAAAATGATCTGAAAATGAAAAGTAAATACCTGTAACATTTAACAATTCTCAGATGCCAGCTTTTAATAAAATCAATTTCCTGAATGTATATAAAAAGTTAGATGACAGCTTTATAGAATAAACATTTCCTTTAAAGACATATTTATAGTCAAATGACAATACATAAGGTGTGATATAAATTTCCCTCATGACCTTGAGGAAATTAAATGTCCATAACAAACATATGCTTTCCTTTCAATACATTTTTGATATCTTATGGCATTTCAATGTCAACTTAAGTACATAATAATTCTGCATATAGATTTTATTAATCTCAACTGAGTTTTAAGCCAACTGCAAGGATCTCAAAAACCCATACAACTTAAAAGGTTGACCACTCTGACTGACCTCCACACTCAATTTCAAACTTCATGCAATCACATTTTTTGCCAATTTTGCAGAATTTATACAGGAAGTTAAAATATGCAGAAATATATTTTCATTTGTTTTGTGAATACAGGGAAGCCTTGTTTTGAGGTGGTATGATCATGGTATATTAAATAGGATATGGGAAAAAAGCATACCTAAATTTTTTAGACATAAACAATTATGCATTTCTTCTAGAATTTACACTGTTTCATGATATGAAATATCTGAATTATTTTGGGGAATCATATTACTAAATGACTAAAGCTTTGCAATATTTTTTTTTCTTCATTATATAGTTATTATTGTTTTGTCTTGTGTATTTGAAATAAAGTAATTTTTACATTCAAAATAATTATAATGAGAATTATTTTGTTGATAACATCGTTCAGTCTTCCTTCATTTTTCAGCCAAATAGTGTAGATTATTAAATCAAATAAAAAAATTTATTCAATACATACTTCAGATGTCACACAAAAAGATTTTTTATTTAAATTTGTTTATTCTGTCATACAAACACTTTAAAGATTAAAACAAATCAAAGAATTCCCTCTCCAGACTGCTTTATCGTAATTTTGAATAATCTGACAGATTAGCCTGTGTGAAGTGCTGATATGGAAGTTTTAACATGAACTAGTAAATATTAAGGTTAACTTTTATTGATAAGAATATATCTAATCAAAAGCTTGTTACCTATATTTTCCGCATTCTGTTTTGGAACATTAGGATTATGTTTCATTTCGGCACAAGGCCTTCCCTATTTCTTAAACTAGTGACACGTAATGAACTATTTTCTTGTATATTCATCAGAGCTTAAACATAATATATGTTTGACTGTTTCATTGCTATGTTGTTTTTATTCAAAGACATCATTTCCCTCTACAATAATAAAAAAAAATGTGGATAGTGTCCACATGTGGACACAGATGATGCCCCCGCTTGCATATCATATAGTTATGAAGGGACATAACTGAAGAACGGTAAAAGTGACGCTACCCAAATCTGAACTTGATCTGAGTTTTGTGGTAATAAGCATTGTGTGTAAGTCTCATAACATTTGGTTGAGGCTAACTTAAGTAGAGAACAGAAACTTAAAATTCAGCAATTTTTCTATTTGTAAACACGCATAACTCTAGAACGTTTGTGTATAAGTTTTATAACATTTGGTTGAGACAAACTAAAGTTAGAGAACGGAAATGAAAAATTCAGCAATTTTTATGTTTATAAAGGGACACAACTCAGTATGGTAAAAGTGTTGCCACCAAATTTCGTACTTAATCTGTATTATGTAGTAATAAGCATTGTGTATAAGTTTCATATCATTTGGTTGAGGCACTAAAGTTAGAAAACGGAAACAAAAAATTTGTACTTGATCTTAGTTTTGTGTTAATGAATATTGTGTATAGGTTTCATAATGTTTGGTTGGGGCAAATTTACTTAAGTTACAGAATGGAAACTAAAAATTTTGCAATCTTTCAAGTTACAAAGGGGCATAACTCAATAATGGTTAAAGTGACACTTCCCAAATTCAACTTGATCTGTGTTTTATCAGTGGAAGTCAAATTTAAACATTGCATTGTATAAAGCATTGAATGTAGTTGATTCAATTATAATCATGGACAAAGGAAGATAACTCCAATTTTAATAAAAATTACTTGAAATTAAGAAGAAAATAAAAATTTTGCAATTTTTCCATTTAAAAAGAGGCATAACTCTAGAACAGTTAAAGTGACGCCACCAAAATTCAAACTTGATCTGTGTTTTGTGGTAATAGGCATTGTGAATAAGTTTCATAACATTTGGTTGAGGCAAACTAAAGTTAGAGAACGGAAAAGAAAAATTCAGCAATTTTTCCATTTGTAAAGGGGCATAACTCTAGACCAGTAAAAGTGAGGCCACCAAAATTCAAACTTGATCTGTGTTTTGTGGTAATAAGCATTGTGTATAAGTTTTATAACATTTGGTTGAGGCAAACTAAAATTAGAGAACGGAAAAGAAAAATTCGGCAATTTTTCCATTTGTAAATGGGCATAACACTAGAATGGTAACAGTGACGTCACCAAAATTCAAACTTGATCTGTGTTTTGTGATAATAAGCATTGTGTATAAGTTTCATAACATTTGGTTGAGGCAAACTAAAGTTAGAGAATGGAAACGATAAATTCAGCAATTTTCCATTTGTAAAGGGCATAACTCTAGAACGGGAAAAGTGACGCCACCAAAATTCAAACTTGATCTGTGTTTTGTGGTAATAAGCATTGTGTATAAGTTTCATAACATTTGGTTGAGGCAAACTAAAGTTAAAGAACGGAAACCAATTTTGGGACGTACGTACAGACGGACAAGGGTAAAACTTAATGCCCCCTCCGCTACGGCGGTGGCATAAAAATTTACCAATCTTACTAGCCTTATAAAACTTAAATGATCTCTAGTGTCTCTAATGTAAAAATTAGACAAAATAAAAAAAAACAATATGTACTTTAAAAAAGATACACAAGATTGAAGTTTGTTTTCAGTAAAGAGGAAAAAGAACATCTAAGGAAAAGTAAGGCATATACTAGTAACCAGATGAACTGCTAAGGTACCATTTATAAAGAAGCTTTAACTTTGTAGATGCTATGAAAAGTATGGAGAACATGGTGTAAACTATATAACAAATATCAAGTCAATATCTTCAAGCATGATGAAAAAAGGTGTGGAAACTGATTATTTGAGTGAATTTTCCAAGTCCAAGGACCATAACTCTGCACAAAATCATCAGACTGGAACAACATTCGTACTTGATCTGTAACTTGTCATTATAAAACTACATACCAAATATTAAATCAATATTTTCAGGCATAACCAAAAAAAGGGTTGAAAACTGATTATTTGGGTGAATTTTCTAAGTCCAAGGACCATAACTCTGCACAAAATGATCAGATCAGAACAAAATTCAAACTTGATCTGTAACTTGTCATGATAATAAAATTGAGAATGGAAATGGGGAATATGTCAAAGAGACAACAACCCGACCAAAGAGCAGATAACAGTCGAAGGCCACCAATGGATCTTCAACGCAGCGAGAAAATCCCGCACACAGAGGTGGTCATCAGCTGGCCCCTAAATAAATTTTGTACTGGTTCAGTGAAAATGGACGTCACACAATTCAAAACATATAAAGGAACTAAAATTAAAAAAACATATAAAATAAAATGCTCCGCTGGGCGCAGCTTGATACGACCGCAGAGGTAGAACCCGAACAGTTGGGGCAAGTATGGACACAACATTCAAGCTTGATACAGCACTGAATTTGGATTGATTAAATATTTGACACAGCATAGGTTTCTGACACAGAATGAATGTGGTCTAAGAACTTAAAAAATTTTAATTTACCTATTCAAACCATATCATTATTATTTGCTTTTATATATAAATCAGAAATAACCAATTTAAAATGGAAAATTTTAAAGGAAAAAAAGGAAAAAAAAATCCCCCCCAAATTTTTTTAACCCCCTTATGATTCATCACCCCCAAACTCAATCCCAGCCTTTCCTTTGTGGTATGGTACCTTGCAGTACAATTTCAGAGAGATCCATACACTTGAACACAAGTTATTGTCTGGAACCTAGAAAAATGCTTGTTTTTTGGCCCCTTATTCCTAAACGTTTAGGGCAATTACCCCAAAACTCAAACCCAGCTTTCCCTTTGTGATATGGACCTTGTAGTACAATTTCATAAAGATCCATACACTTACACACAAGTTATTGTCCTGAAACCAGAAAAATGCTTGTTTTTTGCCCCTTTTTGGCCCCTAATTCCTAAAATTTTGAGGCAATTACCCCCAAAATCAATCCCAGCCTTCCCTTTGTGGTATGGTACCTTGCAGTACAATTTCAGAAAGATCCATACACTTACACACAAGTTATTGTCATGAAACTAGAAAAATGCTTGTTTTTTGCCCCCTTTTTGGCCCCTAATTCCTAAAATTTTGAGGCAATTACCCCCAAAATCAATCCCAGCATTCACTTTATGATATGGAACCTTGTGGTACAATGTCAGAGAGATCCACACACTTACACACAAGTATTGTCTGGAAGTTACAAAAATGCTTATTTGTGGCCACTAATTCCTTAACTGTTGGTACCATAACCCTCAAAATCAATCCCAAACTTCCTTTTGTGGTATTGAACCTTATGGTAAAATTTTATAGAGATCCATTAACTTAAACTAAAGATAAAGTGCGAAAACCAATGTGTCTTTGGACTACGATGACGCCAACGTCATACCAATATACGACCGCAAAATTTTTTTGCGGTCGTATAAAAACTATATACCAATTATAAAATCAATATCTTCAAGCATGATGAAAAAAAAAGCGGAAAACTGAATATTTGAGTGAATTTACTAATTCCGTGGACCATATCTCTGGATAAAATCATCAGAACGTAACAAAATTTGAACTTGGTCTGTAACTTGTCATGATTAAAATATACACCAAATATCAAATAAATATCTTCAAGCATGAAGTAAAAAATATGGAAAACTGATTGCCAGACTGACGGATGGACAGACAGACAGATGGACAGAGTACAAACCTAAAGTCCCCTTCCACTTCCTCAGT